AAGAAATTTCGCAGTACGCTTTCACTCTTCAAACATTCAAAATACCTTCAAATATTTAGCGCGAGTGGGGTTCGAACCCAAGAAGACTTACGTCCATTGGAACTTAAGTCCAACGCCTTAACCACTCGGCCATCGCGCTTTCCGCTGCTCCGGGCGATTACTTCGTTGGCCGTAAATTTCTGGCGACCTAACTATTGTTGAAATGTACAGCGCTAATTGAAAAGAGATATCCTGTTACTTCGACGGATAAATATGTTCAGGCTTGTTAAGAGATTTCGCAGTTCGCTTTCACTCTTCAAACACTCATAATGTCTTCAAATATTTAGCGCGAGTGGGGTTCGAACCCAAGAAGACTTGCGTCCATTGGAACTTAAGTCCAACGCCTTAACCATTCGGCCATCGCGCTGACTCTTGATCCGGGCGATTACGTCGTTGGCCGTAAATTTCTGGCGACCTAACTATTGTTGAAATGTACAGCGCTAATTGAAAAGAGATATTCTGTTACTTCAACGGTTAGATATGTTCAGGCTTGTTATGAAATTTCGCAGTTCGCTTTCACTCTTCAAACACTCATAATGTCTTCACATATTTAGCGCGAGTGGGGTTCGAACCCGCGAGGACTTGCGTCCATTGGAACTTAAGTCCAACGCCTTAACCACTCGGCCATCGCGCTGACTCTTGATCCGGGCGATTACGTCGTTGGCCGTAAATTTCTGGCGACCTAACTATTGTTCAAGTGCTGAGCGTTAATTTAAAAATGATCTTCCGTCACTTTAAGTCTTTCATATGTTCGTGTTGCTAAGAAATCTAGCAGTTCGCTTTCACTCTTCAAACATTCATAATATCTTCAAATATTTAGCGCGAGTGGGGTTCGAACCCACGAAGACTTCCGTCCATTGGAACTTAAGTCCAACGCCTTAACCTCTTGGCCATCGCGCTTACCCTTGATCCGGGCGATTACGTCGTTGGCCGTAAATTTCTGGCGACCTAACTATTGTTCAAGTGCTGAGCGTTAATTTAAAAATGATCTTCCGTCACTTTAAGTCTTTCATATGTTCATGTTGCTAAGAAATCTAGCAGTTCGCTTTCACTCTTCAAACATTCATAATATCTTCAAATATTTAGCGCGAGTGGGGTTCAAACCCACTAAGACTTGCGTCCATTGGAACTTAAATCCAACGCCTTAACCACTCGCCCATCGCGCTTTCTGTTGATCCGGGCTATTTTTATGTTGGCCGCAAATTTCTGGCGTCCTAATTATTGTTGAAAGACAACCACAACGTTGCTGAGATATTTGCAAAACTCTAGACCGCAAGCGTCTGTGGTTGGGAACGAACGCGCTATTGTCCTTTCTCGGGATAACGCGTTCACCACCACACCATGCGGGTCCTTCGTTTCTCCTGCCTCTCAGCTATTTCTATCGATCTTTGCCACAGCAATCACCCGTCAACGGAGTTGATCTGGGGCGCCCAAATGGGCACAGAACCCAGTTAAGCTACGGCTGTAGTTGAAATCACAATGTTATACCTTTTTATTTTCTGCTTACTATAATTTGAACTAGAGCCGCAGCTTAACTTGGTTTTATGCCGATTTGGGCGCCCCACATCAATCCCGTTGACGGGTGATTGCTGTGGCAAAGATCGATAGAAATAGCTGAGAGACAGGCGAAACAAAGGACACGCATTGTGTGGTGGTGAACGCGTTACTCCCCGGAAAGGAGAATAGCGCGTTCGTTCCCCACTGCAGACACCTGCGGTCCGGAGTTTTGCAAATATCTCAGCAACGTTGTGGTTGTATTTCGCTTAGTACCTTGCCGCGAAATTATAGTAAGCAGAAAATAAAAAGGTATAACATTGTCCTAGCTATTGTTGAAATGTTGCGCGTTAATTGAGAAAAGATTTTCCGTTACTTCAAGTGTTGGTTGTATTCAGGGTTGTAAAGAATTGTAGCAGTTAGCCTTCACTCATCAAACACTCCTATTATCTTCAAACGTTTAGCGCGTGTGGGGTTTTGAACCCACGAATACTTGCGTCCATTGGAACTTAAGTCCAAAGCCTTAACCACTCGGCCATCGCGCTTTTTGCTAAGCGCCGCAATTTCTTCGTTGGCTGCAGATTTCTGACATGCTGAGTATTCACAGCGTTGACTTTTTAATTAGTTCCCTTAACTGGCTTTCACAGCAGAGTATTGTTTGTGAAACCACCACAATGTTGCTGAGACATATGCAAAACTCTGGACGTATGTTGTATGCCATTTCCTTATATCGTGCGTTTGTCGTGAGTGCACGATGGAAACATTCTATTGCTTATCTGATGAATCTTTCTACGCAGTTTGTCTGAATGCATAGGGAAACCTCGCTATATGACGGACAACATTCCCTATAATTTTTCTTTAATGTGTGGCTCGTAGGGAAATTCATGCTTCGCTTAGTTTGTAGATTTTGAAGCATTTATCCAATTTCTTTTATTCTCGCTGTTTCTAGGGCTTTAGGGCGATTAGAGTTTAACACTACAACTGAACCTACTGTGATTTTGTTCGTATTTTTGTTGAGCAAACGCGAGGTGTTATTATTCTTTGTTCACGATTAAGCTGACGTTTCGGAGGATTTCGCCTTCCTCATAGCCTGGAAAGGTCAAGTTGATGGCAATCTACTCGGCCAGACGCCTCCATAACCAAACAAAGAAACCCCAAACCAAGATTTCAATCACGTTGAACACAGCTCTGCACACTCACCGCTTTCTATGAGGTTTCCACTAAGTATGTCATGTAGAGACCAACCGCACAGAAATCGCATGGAAGTATAATGTGCCCCTCCCATCAGAATAGCAGTCTTATATACTACCCTATATCACGCGTGATAATGAGGCATTTTTCCCTGCTGTTCATTTTCGGATTTCTGGAATTAATTCAGAGTGCCTCGAGAGTTTTTCGCGCCTGTGTTCTTGATTCGCGTGCGAGGATCGTGACACATACTTCGAAGTCGTCCCCGTTATGTCTCTGGGTCCTATGCGTGCCTAGCGGGGTATTTGGTCTATTTTTGCAGGCTAGGTGGTCTTTCATGCGGACACAGAGAGGTTTACCCGTTTCGCCAATGTATTCGATACCACACGTCTTACAGGAGATCAGATAAACTATACCCGAGCTCATGCAATCACCGTCTCTACCACTGGGGCAAATTATGCAATTTTGAGTTGCACATAGACGGTCATATAGGCGGTTGCGAACTAGCTGGCGCTTAAGATTATTCGGTGGTATTTCAACTACGCTCGCCGAATTCTCTAAGCCCGCCCTTCTTAAGCAGCGTTTTATAGCTGTACTTATATCATTTGAGATGAAGGGTAGGATAAACGGGACCCTTCTATCGCTAGAGTTGTCGCTTGGAGGCCTACGATTTCCTCTATACCTATTCTGAACTAGTTTCGTAGCCATTAGAAATGGCTATTTGCCGTGCCAAGTTCCGGGACTCCTCTCTCTGCTCTCTTCCCGTGCACACGTTGGTTGCTGTTCGAAACCTATTTCTTATAAGCGCCCTTTTCGTGTGAGAGGGGTGAGAGGAGAGGTAATGAACCAAGATGTTTTTACTACTTGGCTTTCGGTACAACTTTGTAATGTAGCCATTTTCTGATAGGTAAATTTGTACGTTCAAAAATGGAAGCCATTTTTCTTTCGGCTTTTCTCGGGTGAACTTGATATACTCTGACTGTGCGTTTAACAATTCGAAGCATTTGTCCATTTTCTCTTGTGTTGAGCAAAGGACAAAGCAGTCGTCTACGTACCTACAGTAGAGTAGCGGTCCGAGATCAGTCACCGGTGCTTCCACCTTAGACATAAAGGCAATGGCAAGGCTTGGAGCCAGTCGTTGCCCCATTGCCAACCCTCTTATTTGAGCGTAGTCCTTTCCAGACCATCTGAAGGTTGAGCAGCCCAAGCATTCTTTTAAGAGTGCCATCAGGTGCTCTATCCTGAAGCCATACATGTTTATTTCTCCTTCGTGTTGTGTAAGGAGTTCGAATATGGCTTGCATTGCGGAGTCATTCGGCACGTTTGTATAAAGGGCGGTAACGTCGAAGGACTCCATCACGCACGCGCTGTTGGGCTGCGCAGTACGTAGACGATCCAGAAACATCTGGGTATTCGTAAGATGCCGAAACGTCAGCTTAATCGTGAACAAAGACCTCGCGTTTGCTCAACAAAAATACGAACAAAATCACTTGATCAATGCCGAGGTTAATAGAAAGTCGGTCGTGGCAGTTACTGCAAGATGAACCTACTGTATTTGTTCCCATTAAGAGTGTATTCGTCCTAACGAAGAAGTAGGGGTTTATGAAAAAAGATTTATGGGCAGAAGTAGCCGAGAAAGGGCATACCTTACACTCGTGATAAGATTGGTTTAGAGGTGACAGTGTGAGATTACTTCGCTTCAGCTTTCGTCTTGATGAGTCCGATATTGAACGGGAGTGTGACTTTATGATATTCAACGATGGTTTCGGAACCTTTGAGGACTTAATGGAGCATTGGTAGAGGTTATACTTTCGCTTTCATATTTTGAGAATATGATACAGTTCCCATTGCTTAGTTTAGGTGGATGATCTATACGATGACCGACAAATATGTGTATTTTGTGAGAATTCCTACTAGTCAGATTTTATCAGTTGGAAGCGTGGATCGCCTTACTGAGTTTTACCACACTGCTGCTGATCGATTGGCTCGCATGGATAGCAGAACTTTTAGAAATGCAGTGAGCTCCACGATACCCCCTTCAAAAGGTTTGCTGGATTATCTAACAGCAACAGCATTTTTCGGAGCCTACGTGTAGAATTGGCAATTGTTATCTATTATGCTAGGGTTTCGACAGCTTATGTTTTATAAATCGTCGAGGCGCATTAGAAGAGCAATTTCAGGACGAGTTGTCATGCTGCACAGTCCGCCGTATTGTGGAGGTAGTTTACTTGGTGGGCTGCTCAGGAGCATTGATCAAACGCAAAGGCACTTACTTGTGCATGGAGAACCTCCGGTGCTGAATGCCCTTTCAGTACTTGTTCAACTCTTGCCAATCGAGACCATGCGGTCGATTACGTTCGCTGCGTTACGTTTCACAGTGCGGCATATCGATAGGGATCAGGTTGTTGTGATGAAAGTGAGGTGCGAACAACTCCATCGTTTGTACTTTACATACTTTTCTTTTTACCTTTAATAATTTTACTTTTCTTAATTTTTCCATTCTTGCCATTTTTTCCTTGGTTTTAGTTTCTCGAAGTTTTTCATTCTTATAACGTAGGAATACTATAGTATAATATTGTAAGATTCATCTCATCTTACACCACTATGTAGGGGATTTAGTGATTTTTATCCGTCAATCAATAAAACATTGAAGGTCAAATAGTATTTCTTAAGTTGCTCATGAACTTTTTCCTTTGTCTTAAATAACAAATTATTCTATTGTTCTCCAGCCAATGCAATGACTACTTTTGTGTGAATTCTACCTTACTCTTCCATCGATTACAACTATCTAAAACTTATTCGAGAGAATGTGCTCCTTGTAGTAATTACCACTACCAACATTCTATTAACCATAGCCCTAGAGAAGCCTGAGATGAAACAATTTTTTGTATTCTCCTTGAACAAACACGAGGTGTTATTTTATTTCTATATTAAATAAAATAAGGAAGGAAACCCAATAAAGGAGTAAAATAACATGTCGTAAGAGTATAAAGATTTGTGTAACCTATCTCCATGCTCTTTAGTAAGATGCCTGTGCACGCGTGCGCGGTCGTTAGAGATTCCCTTTGACACGTCGAATGTTCGATCTCTCGTTCCGTACTCACCAATTTTTCTTTCCTCTCCTCTCCGGTATCAAGGCATTGGTACCAGACTTGTCTAGAAGGATAAAATCACTAACTTGCATATTGGCAGGTCAATGTGGTTCATTGTACATGCTAGATTAATGAATCAAATACACCGCGGCCCTAAGTGATTAACAATCGCCAACACCTTTGTCCTCTTATGCTTTATCGCTTTCTCTTTCCTGCTGAGTTTGTCAAGAAAGTTTTTGTTTTACGATTCTGTTTAAAACTTTTACAGTTTTGAATAGGAGCTGTCTATCAACACCTGTCGCTTTTTTTATCATAGTCATACAATCATATTTTTTATCATACACACAAGTGCATCGAGACGGTGAACTGCTTTGGTAATATCGTGTCGACTTGTTCCCTTCCGTTTTCATTTGGGACAGCAAGTGGATGTTGGAAATGTTACATCATTGTTATATATGTGACACTCAACAAGTTCTTATTTAAACGTGTATACACCTTTGTCAACTAAGGCGTCCGTGATTGTGCTGATACTTACACTATCTAATGGTCTCTTTTATGAACAAATGTTAGGAGAAGAAGTAGGTGTTAATGGCTGGTAGATTTCTAAGCCCTAGACTTTCATGCTATGACATACTTGACAAAACTTCTCACGAAATCTTGTATGCCCTGTTGATTTGATTACATCCATTTCTTGAAGATGAATGTCAATATAACCTTCGAGAAAGATTTGTGGAATGAGGTAAGCGAGTTCGTCGTGTGGAAGTTAGAAAAATTATTTCTACTCTTCACTAAAGTCTTTTACTATTTGGGTATCCGTGCTATTTCTAGCTACATGTGATATAAGTAGAGTGAGTGGTTAGTCCACAGCCCATCAAGAATAGGTGATTACCAAAGTAGTTGTTATGCTGCGAGGTAGTGCCTGGCTAGAATTCGGAGGAAAGGTAATTTTTAGCCAAAAGGAATTCCACAGTACCAAATGGCTAGCACATCTGTGTGCGAAAAACAAAATTTGATTGTCCATGCTCCATGTAGATGACGGCTAAAAAGTTTAAGCGAATAAAAAGATGTCATGTAAGTGTGCAATTCTTTAGGTATGTGCTGTTTACCAGGCTTCATTGAGCATTGTAGAAGTAAATGAATACAAAGCGCATGTTCTTCATTGCCTGCGATGTATTATGTCAGTTTTTAATCCTGGGCAACTGTGAGACGAGTTTGATGCCTTCGGACAAATGAAACAATGTCTGGGAAGCACTAACCCACTAAGAGCCACATGTGTAATTTGCAAACCACCTCTAACAAATGCTCTACCAGCATATCCAGTTCTTTTGTATGACCTATATTCACACAAATTGGATGGATCGCAATACTTCTTCCATTGGTTGTGTTTTCTCGTATCCTTCACCTACAAAGGTTTTCGGATTCGTGTGCATGTTCGGTTAATGCATTAAGATTCTTGGTTTCTGGCCGAGTCGATTTTTTCTGTATGAAAACGGATACAAGTGTAATACCAACCTCTGGAATGGAAACCGGAAAGATGGTAGGCTTGGCGGACCTGACAAGGGGTCAAACCAGGGCTTACCACAAATTGAACTACATCGCTATCACTACCACATTTGCACCCAGTGCTTCTGGTTAGCGGGCATGCAGATGATTAAGATTAGTAATCCAACTTTATGTTCCATACGAATACTTTGTTATTTTTCCTTCATGTTAGGTTTTAGTTGGTCTCCATTTCTTGATTTGTTTAACTTTTTTATTCATCTAACAGAGCAAGTAGCTTTCACGATTTGTTTACAGATCATGTTGTACAAAGATCGTGCCTTATGTCCATGCAAGCACACCGTCCATTCAACATCTCTACGTCACCTCAAAGGATCCGAATGTTGGCATCGCAAAACTCGTTTCCACCAACTTCTCAACATTTAATATGGTGAGATATTTAATTTTCATTTTGATGAAATGAAAACATGTCAACCCGAATGGATAAAGAACTGAGTGAGGATATTTTTCTTTAAACGTTTTGCACTAATATTTTCTATATTAAGTAAGCCTTAACTAGAACAGATCCGAGTAATCTCAGGGTTTCTCGACAACTGCTTAAAATATAATAATGTTCAGGCCATCGTGGTCTATACGAACAAGATCAAATGCATATATATATATATATATGAATATATATGTATTCCAGATCATTATGGACTTCATTAATTGATTAGAATGAAATACCGCTTCTCTGAAAGCCACGATTCATTTAACAGACATTGTGGTTGAGGCTCATGAGGTTGAACAGGAAAGCTGTCATTTGAGAAACATCTCCAATTGCCTCATAGATGTTTTTCAAGATGATTTACATATAAATGCACATGTGTCTAATAAAACTAGAAAGGATAACGCTCTCGGTCTTGATCAATTCTTAAGGGATGCGCTGTCTTTTTGACTACGTCAAGGATCTCTAAAGGTGATTTAATGCGTATCTAGACTATCTCTGTGACATACCAATATATCAGGCTAGTGCTGCTATCCTCTGTGATAATCCGGGTTCCAATTTGCCGAACCGGAGCGATAAAAGGCTTGGTAAGCCAGAGGCACGGGTTCGAACCAACGACCAAATGTGTGTTGTTGCATGACATAGCCAACCACTGCACTACACACGCCTCCACATATATGTTTGTACATATATATGCCTATATATATGTATATGAAATCACAAAGATGCTGAGATATTTGTAAAAGTCCGGACCACATATGTCTGCCGTGGAGTTCGAACACACAATTATTTTAACGCGATCACCACCACACTATGCGGGTTCTTCGTTTCGCCTTTCTGTCAGCTAGTTTTCTATCTATCATTGCCATCAACAATCACCCATCAACGGGATTTAACGGTACGGAAGGGTAATAGCGTGTTTGACCTCTGCGGTTCGGAGTTTTGCAAATATCTCAACATCATTGTTGATGTATTTCACATATTAACCTGCCGTGAAAAATTATTATAGGCAGTAAATGAAAAAGTTTACATTATATATGCATATACATGCACAAAAAACTTTTAGAAGACCAGCGGATCCCATCACTCCTCACATTCCATTCGTTTTCTTGCATCCATCGTTCACGAAGTGCAAACTTTTACGTGAGGCTTTGGCTGCCGCTTAAGGATTCTTACTTCATCTTAAGTGTCATGTAATGCGCTGCGGTCGATTGTCCCTTCTGTCCTAAGATAGCCGGGCTAGTGCGCTCCCATTTGGATTGCACAGAGTGATTTTTTTCCGGAGAATGAGGGGCTTGGTAGACCCGAAAAGGGATCGAACCAGAACTCTGCTCGTGATGATTGGCATCACTACACCACTGTGCTACCCTTCCATATATACAAGTTTTGAAGTACTAGAGCACAAATATTGAACAGTTGACATCAGTTAATAAAAAAACTCGAGCATAATGTGCATCGTTTTCTTGTTGGTTTGATATCAAGCGTTCCTTTTTTCGAAAAAAATCACTGTGTTTCGATTTAGCTACGGTCCTTAAAATCGCTTAGAATCATGAGTTCGATGAGAAACTCTTGCTTGCTTGTTATTAATAGATTAACATACAGCGCCTGTGCTGCGTTCTGCTTCGATTCACAATGAAGTTGGTGCGAGAATAGTGGCCATTTGAAGTTTTATACCAATACGATTTAGCTCATGCCAGATTTAACTAGCTGGCATAAAGACCTTTAGAGTCCACACATCTTTGCCGATAAGGTACAAGTGATCCGATTTTTCAAGATGGTATTTTGACTTTCTAATGTCCGCTACATTTATTTCTCTCATTTCTCTGTCAAGGCTGTTATTTCGAATACGAGAGTAAGCGAGCAATAGCTAGAATAACACGATGATCTTCACCAGTGTTCTGTTTGTGTTCACAGCTACAGCTTTTTTTGTCGGGACATTTTGAAAACTAAAAATTGATCTCTGATTTTTTGGCAATTTTAGTTGTAAAGAAGTGTCGATTTTAAAACATATCGTGTAAAAATATTATATGCGACTAATGCGATAGAGAAAGGCTCCTTCTATAAATTACTTGGACGAGGGATGTTCGTGGTTCAGTTCAGAGAATCAGCCTAGGGTATGGCGCTAGGCGACGCGTGATCGCAAGTACTCCTCCTTACAGCTCATTTTTTAATTTTTGCAATCTATCAAAAACGCCTCAAGAGTTTTATGCTTTGACGTTTCGGATTCCTGTGCGAGAATAGTGACTCTTACTGCTAAATCTTCTCCGTTCTGTCTTTGTTCCTCGTGGGACCTGCCCTTTATGACAACGTGTCGAATGACCACGAAAAAAAACCGCAATGCAAGCCATCCGTGAACTGTTTGTGCAGAGCAGAGCTGTAATAAACATTGATCGCTTCTCAGTTTTTAGGACCGACTTTCTATTATTATTTTCCACTTTTCCATCTATTTTCATCTTTCTACATGTGTTATTGAAGCGTTTGGCGTAGTAAATTGCCTATCAATACACCCTTCCAGGCTCTGGAAGAGGCAATTCTGCCGAAACGTCAGCTACTGTTGTGTTGTATGTGTGTTTCGTATGGAAGTTAACGTATGCTCTATAACAACCTCGTGACTACTGGAAACAGCCCATTTGCGGCTTCTCAATTCAGCAGCTCATGGCTTTTCTGAAGGAGTGTCTAAACTGATTAATCTTGAGATGGTCCGGAAAATACTATACACAAATTTGAGGGTTAGCAACATGACAGCGACTGACTTTAAGCTTTTCCACCATCTTTGTGGTTAAGGTAGAACAATGTGTAATCAATTTCAGGCCAGTACTCTACTGTACACATATAGATGATTGTTTTGTCATCTGTTTCACACAAAAAGATACCAACAAATGCTTTGAACTGTTCGCTGGCTACGAAACCTTTGCTCTTGGCGATAGGTATAGTGGAAAACCTAGGCTTCCAAACGATAATTCTAGCGATACTAGGTTCTGTTTATCTTACACTTCGTTTTCAGCAAAGTAAATCCAGCTATGAATAGCACCGAGAAGTCTAAGACGCCAGCTGGTTCGGAACCGCCTACATGATCGACTGTGTACAATCAAAAATTGGTAAATATGCACCAACGGAGGAGACTGTGATTGTATGAGTTCGGATGCAGTTTATCTAATCTGTTGTAGTGCATGCGGGGCCAAAACATTGGCGAAACGCGTGGACCACTCTGCGTCCGTATATAAGAGCACTTGGTAAATTTGAATTGAAACTAAATACTCTACTAGGTGGGCATGCGACACAGAAAGATAAAGGGGAAACTTTTGAAGTAGAAGTCACTATCCTCGTAAAGGAATCCAGAACATCAGCGCGTGACACTCTTGAAACGTTTTTGATAAATTCCGAAAGTCCAAAAATGAACCACTAAGAGGATTGTCTTATGATCACTCATGTACTACCTCAGGCTATTTCTTTGAATAGGCGTTCCTCTGGCTAATTCTTTGACCTGAGCCGGGCACATTCCTCGCTTATGTAAGACTCTGTGCGGCTGGTTTCCACCAAATTACTAGAAGACATAGAAACAACAGTGACATGACATGACAGTATAACCAAATTTATCTACCATTTTTACGGGTACTACGCACCCATGTCGGAAACTTTGAAAACTGGAAAATTGTTTTGGGTTTTTATCTTTAAATTTTAATTTTAAAGTGTTGTGAAATCAGGTAATATTTTCAAAAATTTGTGTATCATATATCGCTATCGCAATAAAGAAGGTTTTTTATAAGTCTGTTAAGTTCTAAACTGACGGAGTCACCAAAAAAATCATGCGTAACTGTTAAGAGATTAGTTTGTTACAGTAGATCTTACGCGTGTAGTAGGTAAAAGGAAATGAAAGTTTCTTCGCTGTATTTATTTTCTTTTCTCTAATTCTGCTTTTTTTTGTTTAATGTTTTTGTATTTTTTTACATTATTGTTATAACTCTGGAGCAGTGGTCTGGGGCACCTTGCAATACACGTGGGATCGATCCTCGCGCCCCACGCCCACCTAGCCCTCCATTCCTCTAGGGTCAGTAAATTGGTACCAGAATTGTCAGCGAGGATAGCAGCAGTGACTCAATGCATCGGTAGGCCACAGTGAGTCATTGTAAAGGTTAGATATCCATTCATTGTGTTCCAACGATGTTTAATGAAGTCGAATGCATGGCGCATCCCTTAGGAATTGATGAACGCCGAAGGCTTTATCCTTTTGTTATTTTTAAATTTATTTTCATTGTATTATTATTGAGCAGGGTTCATTAGCACTACATGTGGTTAACCACGTTTTCCAACATTAATGAAAATTAGCTTAGATTTGTACACTACTTACTTACTCGCCCATGCTATGCGATTTCTTCTCATCTTGGCGATTACTGGAGCCGGAAGTCGTTCGCAAAGTTGGACCGAGTAACCCTTACGAATTCGCATTGGCTCAAGTAATGGGCTGCATTATCAGTTATCAGAGAAACCTGAAGTATTTCGCTCTCGAAGCAATTTACGCCGAAGACTTGGTATGTTTCCTCTTCAAGTACAAGTTTTCTGCACAAAATTTTTCCAATCGCTCATTTTCTACGCGCAGTACTTTCTTGTAAAAGTTGATAAAAACGCCTTTTATGATGTTTATTTTATCTTTGTTTTTTCTTGCTTTTAATGAAGTTCCAGAACCAAAACATCGGCCCCTTAGAATTAGGTAGTCCTGCTGGTTGGCTAACGTTCTGCGGTACTTGGACCTTCAACACCTATGAAAACTACTCAGCGGAGATGAAACAGTGAAATATTTTGACTGACTAACATCAGAAACATAAAAGGATAGAGCAATGTGTTTGACCAACTACATAGGAATGCTTTATACATCCATCTCCATCCGTAGCATTCTAGAGCTCACTGAGTACATATTTGGCGCTACATTTGCTTGTGGGTCGAGTCGAGGTGTTGAGCCACTGCCTTAATCATCTCAGATGGGCTGATACCGATTTGTCCACCCAAAGAGATGTAAAGCTTGTCGAATTTGGGCCGCGTGACAGAACTAGCGACAGTTCCAGTGCGTTATATGCAGGGCCTTTTAGCTACTTCGTTGGACTCTCCTAGGTGCAACATTACGAACACATATTCTGTCATAAGAATGATCATGCCACATTATTAACCCCTAAGAGGATAGAGTTTAAGTAGGATGCGCATCAAGGACGGGATGCGAATGGATTCATTCTGAAGAAGAAACCATTAGTTCTGTTAGGCTGAACTCCACTACCAATAAACGACATCCATGTATGATTGTATACGAATTTACTGCTTATATGTCCATCCCACTCAGATCGCTCTATTTTGTAAACTACAGTGCACTACATCAGCTTATTTTTTGACCAATGGGAAATATGGAAAGTTGGACAAGAAACACCTTGTTGATGAGAACGTATTTTCTATTCATAAACTAAAATGAAATCGATAAAAACCCCTATTCTGCTAACGCTTCGGCACCTTCGCCTTCCTCAAAGCCGGTTTGATCCGATTTGGTTTTCCACCGTTGTTCTTTTTTCCGATGTGGGTCTTCGTTATCGTATATGTTCCATTCTAGTGGAGCACCTGCCTAATGAAGTAAACCCGCTCCGTAGTGCTGTTTCATAAAAGACGGTTGTTGATACTAAATGGCCGTCGATAATCGCATGTTTTTCTCTGGACAATCCATCCTGCAACCGTCAGTATCATTACCAGCCAGCACAGAGTGTGACAATAATTCAGAAATAAAGATTTTCTAAAAGGTTAAATGCTGTAATAATAATTTTTATCTCTATGAATTAATCGTCCACATTCTGCCATTGAACATTGGTAATACGAGCAAGGAAGAACATTTATAGCGTTACCTGACGAAGCAAAAAAGGTGACAGGTCTGACGAAACTGAAGAAAAACCCTATCGCGAAATAAATGCAGGCAGTGGAATGAAGAGAGTTGCTGATCTTGTCAACATGAATAGGGTCATTAAAATCGTTTAATGTTAGCATTACTGCTACCAACCATTCGCCTTCGAATCAGCGGAATTCGTGACTTGTTGTAGCCCACGTCGCAATGTTCACTTGTGACAACAACAGAAAGCAGTCGATGAGCTGACAGTTGCTACATTAATTTCATGACTATTCGCTGAATATGCCTTTTTTACAGTCTAAAATGTGGCCGTACCAGCGTGAAGTATACTGTACTAAATGCTTTGGCGACCTTTTTCTCAACGGCTAGATTTTAAATCGTGCTAAGTAACCTTTTACGTGCCCACGACTTCCTTTTTAGATCTTCTCCGTCAACTGACATCGCGATTTCTCCTCACATAGCTAGTCCATCTGTGTCTTGGGCTTCAAGTATATTGTCTTGGATTTCGAAGGCGAAATAGTTTGCAAAGGTCTAACTGTGCAGACCGTCGTGACATTACGTGTGCCTGTTAAATTTCAGGCGACAGGCGAAGTATCAACTCGAAACAGGGCGCTGTTACGTTGTCTTAGACCACTTAGGCACAAAAGCAAATTAAGTTTTAAGATAAAGCTGCACTAAAAAGGATAAGTTAGTTGGGCAATATTTTTTCCCTAAATTCCTAAGAATGCCATACCAGTCAGACATACTACGTCGTCACCACAAGTCGTCACCCCTTGAGGAACAGAGAGAGATTTATCGCCTTGGCACAGGTTTCCACTTCGGCGACGATTTCTACGTCAGTTTGATTTTAACTGCATGTACGGAAAGGTCCAATTTCTTTTCGGATTGCCTGAATCTGTAGTAAGGACGAACTCTCCTACATCGTGGTTCGACACACTGCAAGCCATTGCGCATAGTGAGGTGACCATCAGTGCTGCATCTTATATGTTTTATCACATTAAGAAACCTTTATTTACCAACGTGTTTATTAGAAAAAACTATGTGTATGGTAAAGAAAATCCGAATTTCAGTAATTTCAGGGTTCATATAATCATCATTTGGTTTGCATGTTGAAAAGCCGGTGTTACAGATTCATCAAGGTCGAAAAATTCACCTGACTGATTTTGCACTTTAGCACTTGCCCCACATGATTTTGTATTGGTCACGCCCTTATCCAGTGTTCTATTCAGCGAACTTCTTTGGAAGAGAAACATAAGACATATTGCAACATCTTTAGAACAGTGTAAACTTTGGAGCAAAATCCAAACAGAACCATACTTGAAGAATGATGGCCGACATTTTCAGATTGACGATCCGATGCCTGTGATGCATCCTGTACTTGACGTATGTGGAGTGTTTCTTCGAATTCCAGCAAGTGTTATAGACTGGCTGAACGACCAAAGAGAAGAGTCTCGGGTTCAGACCTCATCCATGAATTCGGTATTGAGCGATGTTCAACGCTCGCGAATGCGCCTACTACTGGATTATTTACAACAAGATTGGTGTATATGATAGCAGTCTTATAAAGGCCTTCCTGGATTGTGAAGCTTACACGAGGTTGTTAAACAAGTTTTATTTGGCTAACGCTAGCCGAATAAAACTTATATGCCAACCTCGTGTAAGCATAGCAATCCAAGAAAGGATTGATTATTTATACTAAGGTTAAATGACGGCTAATTTGAGAATTACAGTCTTGGAAAGCTTTCATTATAATGTGTAAAGTATGAAATTTTCTGTTGAACGATGATTTTCTCCGTTCAGAAGCATTTACTTAACATGAAAGATCTACTTTTTAACATACATTGCTGAGCCTCATACAGAACAGAGCTACCAGAATTCACTCTAACATTGAATTTGTCACATTTATGCACACTTGCTTAGTTAGTTATTATACTAGCAGCTTTAGTAAATTCATTGCACCCATATCTATAACGTCCGTTGTCATTGTTAAGTATAAGATTTTTCTAGTGTTGAATAAAAGTATCTACATAAAAAAGGGATAAAGCGTTGAACAATCCCTGAGGGATGCCCCATGCAACCGACTTCATTAAACATCGTTTGGTGGTGATTGAGTGCATACCTGGCTTTTACAATGACTAGTGGTGGCGTACCGATGTATCGAACCAGTACTGCTATCCTCCCAGACAAGTCGCACTAATTTGCCGACCCCGGAGGGATGGAGGGCTTGGTGGGCCATGGGCGCAGGGATCTATTCCACGTGTGTGTTGCAAGGCGCCTCCTATCACCACGCCACACGCTCCTTTTTTTTTAAAAGTATCTACATACAACCACAAAATGAGCTCCATGCGTTTGGCAGCTTGCTGTCTTTTGTACCAACTTTTTTGTTTATGTGTTCTTTAGCGAAAGGTTACCCATTGTAGCATAACATAATCCCTAGTTGATATAATTGAGCTCTCGCAAAATAAATGTAAATATCTGTTAGTGGCGATGATCAGGAAACTCCGTTACACTGCCTATTCATTTCATCGCAAGTTTTTGACTAACATGTTCCCAGCAGAACGAACAAGCAAGACACAAAGCAAGTAACGTTTGTCAGTCTAAAACGGGGGCAGATTAGTCGTACCTGGATCCAATTTTGTCTTTGCACAAACGTAATACCACATTTTGCTTCCGGCTAACTTACTATACTCTGACGAACAGTCTCCGTAAGTTGGCAAATATCCCCCAAATCGTTCCTAACGTGAAGGAGATTGATAACGACGTGTATTACGACAATACATTACAATGATGCCTTTTTTCGCTCAAACATCTTTAAAAGTTTATATGCAGGGTAGGCAGCGTTTGACTAAACACCATAAATGGTTTATGTTCGTTCCTTCTCAACTACTTCAATCACTCCGCAGGTGGTACGTGCAAAAAATCACGTCGTCTAGGCTGAATATTATTAACGGGGTGCTTAAGTTTTAGGTCCTAACCTTGAATTTTTCTTAACGGGTATACATGGCATAAACTATGACCTTACAATAGGATAAAAAACTGCTGCCATGTGCTTCAGTAGAAGTGTCATTGATAGATTTGTGCTCACAAGCGCTTAAAGCCCACACGTGTGGCCTTAATATTCGCAGCGACAGTTGTCGAGAAATGGCCAAGCGACCCACCCAGAGGTCTGTTCCTGACAGGCAGTGACAGTTGCGTTCTATTCTTCGCTCTTCGTTCTATTCTCAATGAAATCTCAAGAGAAAGGTTTGCTGCAAGGCAACGAAGGGGGTTCATTAGGTTACTGTTTGCTCTATAAGCCTTGATGTTATTGTTTTATTTTCATCAATAATGGGCTTTTTGCATTCTTTTTTCTGATATATCAATGAACAACCAACCATTCATTCATCATTCTTTAAGATACGAATCACCGTTGTCATCAACTTTGCTGGTTTTGCCCGAAAGATGTTGATGATAAATCTTAAAGGACCTTTTGCTATAAACACATTCGTTCCTATTTATCATCATTATCGCTATGACTAGAGTATTTCTATTCCCTGTTTAAATTTTTTGTCACGGATCTCCTTCATATGAGGGATCTCGAGCCAGTTAGTCTCATGGTTACGTGACGTGTCCCCAGGATAGAGTTAATTGCAGACCAAAAGGGACCTTTGCTTCCCTGAGAAGCAGGTGGATCTAGAGGATGGACTTCCTGTATCTGCTGCCTTGATTTGGCACATCCTTTCTGTATTTGTTAGGCGTATTTATGCATGCGTGTGTGGGCGCGTTCTGGTTTATGCGGATTGTAATCTAAGAGTCAATTCTGCTAAAAGCCTGCAATCAAGTGACTGGGAAGTATATGGGAGGCGGTTAGGAGTCGCCTACAGCAAATGAGCTCTATGTCCACTTTGGGAGACTCTGGTAAGCTACCTGTGAGTATACCCAGTCCCTACGTTCAGAGCACAGCAAGCTATACGTGGGTATCAAAATGCTAAACACAGTAAAAAAAAAAAACGGGACTAATTCCCCTGACCCCGAAAGAGCCCCCAATTTCGCAGCGTTGGTAGGAGGAGTAGGGAGAGGCTGCTAAAATCTCCAGGCCAATGGAAGCTGCCTGGATATCAGAAAACAATGGTGGCGATCGTGGTGACGATCTGTACCTACAATGCACGCACACTTGAGTCCGAGTCGTCGATAGAGGACTTGCTCATGCAAGCAAGAAGGATAAAGTACGACATCATAGGCTTGGCCACGTCAACACCAGTTTGACCATGAACATCGAATCATTTGAACAACTTACAACCCGAATCGGACCTTCCTGATTAAAAATTTGTGGATCAATTCCGGCAATGACAATCCCCGTCGTTTACGCGTCGACATCAAACTATAACGAAAAAGAAGTCGAAACCTACTATATGAACTTGGAGAAGTTCTACACAGAAGACCATACATTCTCGAAGGTCATGATTGCAGACTTCAACGCCAAGGTTGGACCAAGAAGAACGTCCGAAGAGCGTCACATTAGGACCCATGGATTAGAATGAAACGAACAGGGTGAGCGGCTATCTGAGTTTATCATGTCAACCAAGACCATCCCTGGTAACTCGCTGTTCCAGAAGGCTCACCTTCAGCGCTGAACATGGGAGCCTAATGGAGAGTACCATAACGAAACAGACCACATCATAGTAAATAGAAGGTTTTGCCTAACCGAATTCGCTGCTGTCCCAAAATTCTCTCTCGAAAGTTTCTCGCGGAAAGGAGAAATGCAGCTAAATTCCAAAACCGAAGTCCTAGAACCACCAAGAACTGGCACTTGTTCAATTCATTAGCCGGCTGTTGGAAAGATGCCGTTGTCGATAACATCGACGAAGAACACGATCAGCTCATTCAGCATCTTCACGTTTGCGCCACGAAGGCCGAGAGTTCGGAAGTCATCAAGAGACGTCTGTTTCCATAAACATTCGAGCTGATACGCCAGTGTGGAATCGCACGAACTGCAGGCAACCGCTAACTAACGTCCGAACTTGCAAAACAGTACAGACAGGCGATAAAAGAAGATCTTAAAAAAGAAGAGCTGCAGTAATGATCGAAGCTGTAGAGGATGGGAGAAGCATTTGCAAAGCACACCGAAACTTCGCCCATAACAAGACCAAAATGATTGCACTCCGGCGCCCAGACGGAACAGTTACAGCCTTCAAAAAGGCAATGGAGAAAATCAATCACGAATGCTCCTCGGATCTCTTCGATAGCCACGTCCACCTTTCGTCATATGAAATAAAGGAGGATGGATATGTTGTGCCACCGGTTCTCCCTTCCGAAATCCGACATGCGATTTCGTCTGTGAAAAGTCGAACAGCACCAGGTCCAGATAGGATAAGAGCTGAACACCTGAAGAACCTTCCGCCAGTCCGCGTAAACACACTGGCTCGGCTCTTCACACGTTACCTTTCTGAACACAAAGACCCTAGACAGAGGAAGACCAGCACGACCGTGTTATCGTTCGAGGGTGACCAGCACGATATCGGCAACTATCGCCCAATCTGTCATCTACAAACTTTTCACGCGAGCCATCCTAAACAGGATTGACAGAAGACTGGAAGAAGGACAGCCATGTGAACAAGCAGGGTTTCGAAAAGGATTTAGCACGATGAACCACATTCACACAGTAACGAGTTTCCTTGGAGTATCACGACAGTACAAAAGACCGATCTGTCTCACTTTCTTCTATTTACAGAAGGCTTTTGATTCAGCTGAGATAGAAGCGGTCCTGGAGGCCCTTGATAGTTAAGGAGTCTCTACTCAGTACATAAAGACTCATCGTGAGCTGTACAAAAAATCCACAACTAAGGTATCACCATTCTATAACGATATTAACATTGACGTCAAAAGAGGCGTTAGGGAAGGCGACGCCATCTCGCGAAAATTATTTACCCCCACCATGCTGAACGTCATGCGAACATTGGAATGGGATAATAAGCGAATGAAAATCGATGGTCGGCAGTTACACCATCTTCATTTTGCTGATGACATCATACTTATAACACCAAACATTAACCAAGCGGAATGTATGCTTGAAGACTTTGATAGAGCCTGTGAAAAGATTGGTCTTCGACTAAATCTCACAAAAACGATGTTCATGAAGGACGGATTGGTTTCGCATGCCCCATTCACGCTCAACGGAGCGAATACCTCCGAATGCTCCAGTTATATCTATCTAGGCCGGGAAATCAATATGATGAACGACCTAGCTCCAGAGCTGAGCAGAAGGAAACGAGCGGCTTGGGAGCTTTCAAGAGCATCGAGGATGTAGTGAAGAGAACAAAGAGCACCAGACTCCATGCACACTTTTTCGACTCAACGGTACCTCCTGCTCTAACGTATGCGTCAGAAACCTGGTCGCTGAGTAAGCAGGTTGAAAGGTCACTGAGCGTTATCGAACGCGCTGTCGAAAGAACGAAACTCGGAGTATCCCGTTCCACACAAGTAAGGGATGGGATCCGAAGCTCCGATTTGCGTCGACGATCAAAAATCAAAGATGCCGCCCTGTAAGCTAAACAGTCGAAGACAAGGTGGGG